AACTTTGATATCAAAATTTTTCTTAGTTATAACAGAAAACAATGGATTACTGTACTTTTTTCTTTAGTACTACATTATATTTAAAAGAAATTTCTACCTTCCAAGTGGTTTTTGCTCTGATGAGAAATACAGTCCACATGTTCTATATTTTGGTTGCTTGACTTAATCTGGTCACTAGAAAATAAAACAAAACATACACTAAACATATCAACTCTCACAGACTATTAATTTATTTTAAGAAAAAGAAAGGAACTAATATTTGTTAGTTATTATATGCCATATGCTGTCCTAGGGCTTAATGGCTAGTATTAATCTCAAAGCAACACTTTAAAACAGATATTAGTCTCATTTTAAAATAGGAAATTAAGGCTGTGACAGTGAATTAATTTATCCAATACCTAAAATTCAAGTCTATCTGGTTACTAAACCCTAATCGTTCCATCATCCTAGATTAAGAAGTGTTATGAAATTACCCAGAAAAATAAAAAGTGTTTCTTGAAAATTTTATTGCAATGATCATTTTATAAAAACATGAACAGGTGAGTTTTGCTAATCTAGTTTTTTAATAATAATTGAGGTCATACACTAGCTACCATTAAATTAAGATGTGTAAGAAGAATTAATAGTAGAAATACTGGCTAGATTGACCTAAGAAATCAGCCACTTAAACTATGGGCATGTTTTAGAGGTTACAGAGAAAAATGCAAATGTAATGCCAACAGTAATAAAAAAAATGTGTTAGGAATAAATTCCAAATTAGTTAAACACAAACTTAGTTATTTGGCTGCATTCCTTTATATGTGCTACCAGGACAGTATATCTTCCATGGAATTGGGTTGAGGTAATAGGAAATATCTCCAGTTCTCAGTTACAGATTATGGAATAATGAGCATTAAACAAGACGGAAGAACTAAAATCTATTGGCTTAATGATGAGACATGAAATCATTTAAAATCTGTTCTTTAAAACCTGTAGTATATATCAAAAGTTGACAGTGATGGCAATAATCGTAACTTATTCTTAATACTTTGTAATTTCTTAAAAATAAACATGTTATTTTTAGAAACATGAAATAATTATTAAACATAGAAACTTCGTTTATCAAATGACCTACAACATCCCAGATTTCTTCACTCCGAGTTCATGCTCTTCCATTACATTTAACTGACCCTAACCTTTGAAAATTACTTCAAATAATTAATAAAGAGTTTATGTATACAGACATAAGAAAGAATGGTGAGAGAAAAATCATTCACATGATTTGTACATTACCTGAAGGATACTGCTTCTTTAACACCACTGATATCCACTACTGTACCATTTCCATCAATAACAGGGGAGTCCAAATTAGTAGATCCATTACTGATATGATCACTGCTTTCATATCCAGACTCGGTCCTTTGCATCTGCCAAGTGTCACTGTGAACTTTAGTCTCTCTGAGGCCTTTATTTTTCTCTGTTCCTTTTTCATTAGATTCAAGGGAACTCCTGCTTCCTAGTTCCTGCTTTACTTCATCTTCATATATGGTCATTAAACCTTTTTGCTTTGCATTCTCTTTTGGCCAATTGTTAAAACTCTGATCTTTGCTACATTTAGGTTTGTTGCTGATATTTGATTTATGTCTTGGACTATGCTGCCTTTTTTCACTTTCACTGAAAATGCTATCAACATTTAATGTTTCTCTCATAGGTTTCCAACCTCGGTTCCGGCTTTTACTGCTGCTATTACAGCTGCTTCCTTTATCCCTAGAATCTTGGCTGCTGTCTGTATCATATCCAGTGCCACTGTCACGCTTAACTTTGCCAATTATTTTCTCTCCTGAAGGAAGAATCTGGGATTTATTTGAACTTAGCATTTGTGCAGAAGCTCGGCTCTGATGGGCGATTCGGTCGTATTTATTTGGTCCTTTTCCTTGGCTACTATACAGATGTGGATTTCCATATTGTCTAAAACCATTTTGGATAGGAGGTGATCCAGACTTGAAATAAGAAAGGTCTTCATCAACAAAATCTTTAAAAATAAATAAAGATACAAATGAGCTTCTTCCCAGAGCCACTTTTTCAATCACAAGCCAAATACCTTATTTGCTTGAAATGTTAAACAGTAACCAGTAAACAGAAAGTATTTAAACTATTATTACATAGTGCTTTGAATTCGAAAAGTGCTTTTTCAGTCCCTATTTATGCTTAATAGGAGGCAATTATAAAAGAAGTGTTTAAATATTCACTTTAAAAAAATTATGTTAGGCCATAAGATAATTAAAGCTTTTTGTTTTTTCAAAGTAAGTATTCCACTTTACTCTTAATTAACAAAATGGAAATCATAAGATGAAATATTGGTTAAGATTTGAAAGTTTCTTAAAGCAATCACTGCTGAAAGCCTGAAGAAATAGATATTCAATCACTGTTGGTGGGAGTGCAAACTGGTCCTGTCTTGTAGAAACTCCTCTGAAAAATGTCACGCTGTGGGTAGACCTGACGTGGTCTGGTGCTGCAGTGTCTAAGGCATTTGACTACTAACCAGAAGGCTGGCAGCTCAAACTCACCAGCTGCTCTGCAGAAGGAAGATGGGGCAATCTACTTCCGTAAAGATTTACCACCTTGGAACCCAATGGGCATTGCTATGAGTTGAAATCGATTCAATGGCACTTTTTTTTTTTTTTTATGGGTAGACTCAAAAGGTGTGAAAGGTATATGTAAAAGGATGGGACTGCAGCAAAAATCTTAAATGTATCTTTAAATTCTATCAGTATCAGTTAAATTATGGTTTGTCCATAAAGAAATGAGCATAAAAACAAAATGCTTATAATGATCTAGAAATTATTAACAGTGGAACAGAGGGAGGGCCAAGGAATGGAGGGGAAGAAGCTTTTTCATTTAATTTTATGACTTTCCTTATGGATCAATTATGTTATTAAAAGTTAAAACATCAAAACAAGAACACAAATATCCTCAGCTAGAATTAAATTAAGCCCAGGGAAACTGAATTTTTAAATTTAGTAAAAGTGTATTACAGATATCAATTATTCAGATACTGTAAAATTCTATTTTAAAATAAGATTTTTGATACCTTTTTTTGAAAGGGGCCCTGGTGGTACAGTAGTTAAGTGTTTAGCCACTAATCAAAAGGTTGGCAGTTCAAATTCACCAACGCTGCATGGGAAAACATGTGGCAGTCTGCTTCTGTAAAGATTTGCAGCCTTGGAAATCATGTGGGACAATTCTGTTCTATCCTACAGGGTTGCTATGAGTTGGAAAAGACTTGACAGCAATGAGTTTTTTTTAAATGACTGTTGAAAGTGCTCAACTTACCTCTGTGTTGGCCCAAATCTTTTCTTTGTTCCCTCTCCAAATCTTTCCTTTGCGAGGAAAGTAAACTTTTCTGTTCAAGGGCTTTCAGGGCACATTCTCTAGAAATGTCTTTTATTTTTTCCCTTTGATCACTGTGACTTAACTTAACTGTAAAGGAAACCATTTTTACAATGATACATATCATTTTTCAATTTTCTCAGTAAAAGTACAAATTTAAGCATATAAAAATTTTAAGACTTTATATATTAAAAACAAAACACAAAGTGCAATGAAAGCTATTTTTATGCTTAACTAAAAGGTTAATGTGATTTACTCTGACCTGGAGATATGTGTTGTCTTTTAAAACCTTCATGTATTCAATGCCCTTAAAGCAAGGGGAAAGGGGAAAGGAGATTGACTATAAAATATTAAGAGCTAAAGAGAACTGAATGATAACTCCATGTCAAGCACTAATCTAAGTGTCTTAACTCATTTAACCCTCTGAGGTGGGTACAATTACTATCATCATATCATATGAGGAAACTGAGGCATACAGAAGTTAAAAACTTGCTCAAGCTCACAAAGCTTACAAGTGGTGGAAACAGAATTATGAACCCAAGCCTCTGGTTTCAATGTTTGTGTTCTTAAATATATACACTGTGTCTGGGCTTAAAAGGTGTCTTAAAAAACAAACAAAAGCAAATGTAGGAGTCTTTTTGGAAAACAAAATATGATTATCTAAGGAGAACAATAATCTGTAACAGAGAAAAAGGCTATAATTTAAGAGTTTTTTAAAGCATTTACAGTAGTAGTTCTCTGTTGATAATTGCTAATTTTGGATCGTCACCTTGACTAAACATTATATTTATGGTTTCATTATTATTGGTGCTCTGATGGCATAGTGGATAAGGCACTTGACTGCTAACTGGAAGCTGCTCTGTGGAAGGAAGACGAGGCAATCTACTTCCCTAAAGATTTACAGCCTCGGAAACCCAACGGAGATTGCTTTATCGTTATGAGTCAGAAACGACTCAATGGCAGTGAGGTTTTTGTTTTTTTTTTCCCATTAGTATGATGATTTCATTCATTCATTAACATATTTAAGAGTTAATACGGTTAAAAGTTGTTTACAAAATCATCCTTAATATCCACACAATAAATTTTATCAATTTCTAAACCTTAACCGCACACTATACCATAATTCTCATTTTGGATCCAAGTCATAGGACTTGCCTTATGAAAATTAATGTCATGGGATGACAATGAATAAAAATGAGGCTATAACAGCTTTGAACAACTGCTAAATTCATTAACTGTAGATTTAATAATGCCATATAAACTAAATTATTAATTCATGTTTTTCTTCTCCAAGTAGATTATTAACTCCTTGAAGGAAAAGTCTTATTATAGTTTTCTTTGGTAACCATCCAGATTGCCTTGGGCCTGCAACAGTTCTGAGTACACTGAAAACCTAAAACACAGGTCGAAGCATAATGTTCAGATGAAACTATAGGTCTCGGAGAAATGCTAAGTCAAAAGACAAAATCTTATGGTATCTCCTTATTATTACTGCCCTCCTTTTGTAGAGTCCTGACTAGGAATTAAATATTCATTTAGTGAAGAAAAGGAGAAGCTTAACTGCTCAGAAACAGTGTAGAAAATGACAATTTAAACACAAATACCTGGTCCTCTACCTCCACTTGTTTGAACATGGCTCCGATTAAATGATGAAGTATCATCTGTTTGAAATTTCTGATTTTCCCTCTGTTTTACCTGATCACCAAATCCATTTTCTTTTGAATTATCTGACTTATAAATCGAGGGCTTTTCACATCCTTCAAAAGACAGACAAATATGTATTATCCCCTTTGTTCTCCCAACCAGAAGAGATGTTTAAATCATCTTCTCAGGCATTTCTAGTACAGTACCAAATTACTTAAAAACTTGTAGAATTGACATCAAAAGGATTCCCATGCTTTATAACACATCCATTTGTCCTAGCTGCTACCTCAGTTAAAGAGCAACATTTACTGTTAGAAATAGTTACCAGCCAAGCCAAGCAAATGCTTTCTGTACTTTTGTGCCCATAACAATGTATGGCTCCTAGAGGTGCTTCTGAAACCACTGATGAGGAAAGGATCCAATATAAAGATTAACTCAAAGGACTAGAATTTTCCTGAACTCTACTTAACGGAAAATAAATTTTGAAATTATGTTTGACATTATATACTAAATATGTTAGCATTCCTAATGTGATTACGATAATAGAAAAATACCTTAAAAAAATAAAAAGGGGGAAAAAGAAAGAATTACCCATATTTTCTGCAACGGATTTATAATGTGACCAGTGGACGACCTGCCTAAGTGCATCGTCAGTAGAAACTGCTGTGCCATCTGGGTTTGCATAAAACAAAAGCAGTGGCTGGAAGTGGCATCGGCTGCACTTGGAGACCACATCTTTCCATCTAGTTCCAACCTGAAAGATTGGAAAATTTCAAAACTGTAAGAATACAAACAAAAGCCTGGAATCAATGTGTCATGTGAAAAGGCAGAGACTCTAAATAAATCTGTATATTAAAAAAATTTAAAGACATTCTGATGTTAGCAGTTCAACTGCCATCATATACAATTAGTTTTATTTTATTTACTAGCCTCAATAAGTATCTTTTAAAAAGAATATCATTAAAAAATTGATGGTGAAAGATTAAAAGACTTTCCAATCAAAAGCTGGGTCCCTGGGTGGTACAAACAGTTTGTACTCAGCTACTAAGAGAAAAGTTAGCAGTTCAAATCCACACAGCACTGCAGAAGACCTGACAATCTACTTCCCCAAGATTATAGCCTCTGAATACTCTATAAAATGCAGTGCCACTTTGATACACATGGAGTTGCCATAAGCTGGAACAGACTTGATGTCAACAAGTACAAGTAGTGTATCAATAGTTAGATTATGAAATGTTAAGAAGCTTTTACATATGATTAATTTTTGAGAAAGCTTTAAAGGCAATTCAACAGAAAAGACAGTCAATTCAACAATATGACGTTAGAACTGGAAATTTCTACTTAAAAAAGAAAAAAAAGAAGAAGAACTTGAGTCTGGTAAGATGGCAGAACAGGCAGACAAACTACACAGACCCTCTTCAACAAAGGAGGAAAACCAAATAACACAGATACAGAAGATAATCTTGGAGCCCTGAGCTTTGAAAGGAAGGATACAGAAGTGGCCTAAATTCCAACTAGTAGAACCTACATGAAAACACCAAAAAAGGAGAAATGCAGAGCTGCTGACTGTTAGCAACCCTGACAGCATGTAAAGTGTGGATACTGCCAAGTGGTGTTAGAGCCTAAGAATTAACCTAAAAATCAGCCCACTAGGGTCGCTATGAGTTGGGTCCGACTCAACGGCACATAACAACAACAGCCAGGGGCTGCATGGAGGGCTGCACTGGTGGCTGGTGAATAAAAGGGGAAGCAGCAAAGAGGGAGAGAGGCTGAGCTGTAGACTTTTAGCTGTCTGGAGGGTGCAGCCATTTTGAACGTTTACAAGCCATTCAACCATTGTGGATGCTTAAAGCAACAGTGTTCTCTCAGAATGCAGGAACCTGACGATAGGCTCCACTTGCTGGGGACTGCAAGGACATACCTGACACGAAGGACTGGAAAGGTGTGATATTCCCCTTGTTACTCTTATACCCCACACCCTCTTGGTGAATGGAGGTGCAGCAATCCCTCAATCCCACCCACCTTCCAGGACAGCAGGAATTCCATCCCAGTCTACGTGCTCTGACCAAGCCTGAGTACCCTGCCCTGCCTGCCCAGGCTCCCCTGCCCCCGCCCTTATTTTTTCAGTTTGTTGGTTTTTGTCTGTTTTAAAATTGTTATTGTTATTATTATTATTTTCATCCTTTTTATTATTATTCTTTCTGCATCCCTTCCCAGGTTCTAGTTTTCAGCTTTTTCTCTCTTTCCTGTTCCTGGTTCCCATCCTTTCCTTTCTTGTGGTTCTCACACTCCTTGTTTTTCTTTTTGCATTTTTCCCATTTTTTTCTCATTATTCTTCTACTCATCTCATTTCTCTTATTCCCCCATGCCCAGATATTGCAGGCTTTTTTTTTTTTTCTTGTCTTCCCTTTTTTTATGCATATTTCTTTTGGATTTTAAATTATTTCTTTAAATATTTTCTCTTATTGCCTTCTCCCCCCTCCCCTTTTTGGTGATTGTTCCTATGTATTTATGTAGTATATATTTTTTGTCCTCTTACTTTTACTTTTCTGATGGTTTTTCAGTTGTTGTTTTTGTCTAACTGAGTGCGAGACAGCAACCGTGCCCATATGATACAACCATACCCGTACCTCCTGCAGCTCCACTTAGAGTAAGAACCACCACGTCCCTCTGTACCAACTGGCCAACGATACATCAACACCAATAAGAGCCTGACTTACCCTTAACTGCTCTTCACAGTTAACAGAGATCCTTCAGCCTCTCTCATTCTCTTTCACACCTACCAGGAAACAGGTGGTGGTGAGTGCATAAGTGCTGCCAACTAGCAAAGAGAGGAACACAGAACCCTGCTTACTCAGATATATCCAAAAACAACAAACAAAAGAAAACAAAAATCTTGGGTGAATCACTCTAACATACAACCACCAATTAAATATAAATACAACAAAGTCACAATGTCTCAGAGACAACAGACTATCACAGTCCACACAAAGAAGCAAGATAAAGTGGTAGAAACAAGGGAGCAGAATATAAACCCAGAACACATCCCTGAGGAAGAAGCAGCATTGGAAGTCCCTGATAAGGAACTCAAAAGAATTATACTTAGGTACCTTCAATGGAATGAGAGACAGATCAAGGAAAACACTGACAAAAGATTAGAACAATTATAGAAGACAATGCAAGAACAAAACACCAAAATAAATGAGAAATGATACAAAATCTACAGATAGTAATCCAGATTAATACTAAATTTGCAGAAATAGATAACACATTGAAAGGGCAAAGGAGTAGAATTGAATCAATGGAAGACAGAATTAATGAGATTGAAGACAAATACCTGAATACTTCTGTGGAAAGGGATCAATCAGAAAAAAGATAAAAACAAAATGAAGAAAACCTAAGATTTATGTGGGATACCATCAAAACAAGTAACCTATGTGTAATCAGAATTCCAGAACAGGAACAGACAAATAAAACCACTGAGAAAACTGTTCAAGATTTGTTGGAAGAAAACTTCCCTGATATGATGAAAGATGAGAATATAGAAATTGAGGAAGTCCAATGAACCCCAAATAGATAGACTCCAAAAGAAAATCACCAATATACATCATCATCACACTCACCAAAAACAGACAAAGTAAGAATCCTGAAAGCAACATGGAGAAAAAGAAAAGTTACCTACAAAGGACAACCAATTAGACTAAGCTCTGATTTCTCAGCAGAAAACATACAGGTGAGAGGCATTGGGATGGTATATATAAAACAATGAGAGAGAAAAATTTCTAACCAAGAATTCTGTACCCAGCAAAATTGTCCCTCAAATATGATAGTGAAATTAGGACATTTCCAGATAAGCAGAAATTAAAAGAATTAGTTAAAACCAGACCAACCTTATAAGAGATACTAAAGGAAGTCCTTTGAACAGAGAACGAGTAATAACAACCGACTATTAATACACAAGATGACATAACCCAGAAACCAACACAGCTATGGACATATCCAAAGTAAAATAAGCTTACAAGATTGTAAACAGAGAACCAGAGACATCTATTTGCAACTGAGGACAACTACAAACCAAAAAGAGGGAAAAAGGAGTGTAGTTACAGAACTTCTAAATGGTAAGGAAGTCAAGAGAGTTGCAAGATAAAATGGACTGTTCTAAATTTGGGGAGAAAATTATAAATCACAGGGTAATCTGAATGAAAAATGATAAACCTTCACATCACAATAAAAAAAGAGAACAAGCACACATATTTAGCAAATACTAAAACAATAGCAACAGAGGGAATGATAACATGATCCATAAACAAAATAAGCACAGCACAGAAAATTATATGGAACAAAGAAACCAGGAACACCATGAAAAAACATGTAACAAAATGACAGCAACCAATTCGTACTTGTTGATAATTACACTGAATGTCAAGGGATTAAATGCACCACTCAAGAGATGGAGACTTGCAGACTGGATAAGAAAACACAACCCATCAATATGCTGTCTACAAGAGATACATTTTGGAGACAAACACAGAAATAGACTAAAAATCAAAGGCTGGAAAAAAGACACATCAAGCAAATGGCAACCATAAAAGAGCAGGAGGTGCAATATTAATTTCTGATGAAATTGACTTTAAGAAAAAAACACCGTAAGAGACAAGGAAGGGCATTATATAATGACTAAAGGATCAATTTAACATGAAGATATTATGGACCCAATGAACGAGCCCTAAAATACATAAATCAGACTTTAATAGAATTGAAAAGACAAAGAGATTACTCCATAGTCATAGTAGAAAACTTTAATAACAGCACTTTCAACAATGATAGAACTGGAAAGAAAGTCAATAAAGATGCAGAAAAACTAAATACGATCCACCAACTTGACCTTGTAGACATCTACAGAGCACCTCACCCAACAATATACATTTTTTTCCAGTGCACATGGAACATTCTCCAGGATAGACCATATATTAGGTCATAAAGCAAGCCTTAATAAATTTAAAAACAGTGAAATGCTGCAAAGCATTTTCTCAGATCACAATGCTATAAAATTAGAAATCAACAATAGGAAGATCAATGGAAAAAGAGCAAATACATGGAAAGTGAACAAGACCCTCCTTGAGAGCAACTGGGTTACAACACATTATCGTTGAGTCAGAGCCAACTCATAGTGACCCCGCCTTGGGTTTCCGAGGTAATATCACTATGGAAGTAGACTGCCCAACCTTCCTTCTGAGGAGTGGCTGGTGGATTTGAACCGCCAGCCTTCTGGTTAGCAGTCAAATGCCTTAGGCACTATGCTACCAGAACTCCTAACAGGGTAATAGAATAAATAAAAAATGAAATTAAAATATTCCTTGAATCAAACAAGAATGAAAACACTACATACCAAAATATTTGGGACACAGCAAAAGCAGTGATCAGAGGCCAATTTATAGCAATAAATGCACACATCAAAAAAGAAGAGCCAAAATCAACACTTTAAACCAACATCTCCAATAATTAGAAAAAAGAACATCAAGAAAAGCCTACAGTCACCAGAAGAAAGGAAATAATAAAGATTTGAGCAGAAATCAATGAAACAGAAAG